TGGATGGATGGAGTGCAGTTTTTCAAAATGTTTCAAGGTTCAATGATCCACATATTCTGTTTTAAATTGAACTGTTCTGCAATCAGAGGCTCACTGAGCCCATTAATGACTGCTTTCTGAGCTCTTGTTCCCTCTTAGCCAGGAGGTTCAGGGGTCAGGGTCAGCTGCAGCACCGCATCTTAAAGCTGCCAGAGTTTTATTAAACCAATTTTTTTTTTCTCCAAGGTCACATTGACTTTGCTGATGTTTAAAAACCAGCCTGTCAAACTAACGAGAGCACCCTCCTGCTGTTTCAGGAACCTTTTCTCCCATGTTGCTCATCACCTCGCTGAGATTATGCCAAGAGAAATATCTTCAAAAAGAAAAGTCTTCCACCCTCCACCCCCGTCTCTTCCCACTAATAGCATCTTTCTCGCCCCTTGTGAGATGCCTGGCTGGATGTGTGTGCATTCATGTGTTGTACCGTGTGTGAGTGCGTTTTGCCTGATAGAACACGATATTTGGTGGATCTGTGTGTGTGTGTTCGTAAAGGGAGTGCGTTTGATTTCTAACAGCGACAGGAGCATCAATATTTCATGCTGACAGATGGGAGCGAAAGGAGGGGCTGTGTGAGTCTGAGTGGGTTTCCTCCTGTGTTTTCACTGCGCTGAAAGTGGGCCACTGCCTTGTTGCCAGAGTGATTCTTCACTCTGTTTTAAGGAGAAACTCCAGGCTCTATTCTGAGGTTCTTGCGACGAGTCCTCGGGAGTAGAAAGGAAGCAGCAATGCTAAGGAAAGCAGATCTAGGTGCTTGATCACTAAAGGTTTCCCGAGTTCCTGTTTGATCTGGATTATCTAAAGGAGCATCAACACAAAAACAAAGGAAGTGTAAGAACATGACAAGGCTTTTTTATGAAGTCACAGCTATGTAAGGGGATTTTTTATTTCCTGTTGAGCTCTGCTGCAATGGTGTGACACTTTAAAACAATAAATATTTAAAAGATCAAAAACTCACAGAGGACTTTTTTTATCAAACACAAAATAATTAAGACCAATCAGCGTTTGTGATGTCAGAATTGTGACAAACAATTTAATGGTTGCTCACTGCAAAGCAAAGATTGCTGAGAAACAAAATGACTCACTGCTCTTCCCTGTTTGTTTTCCAGAACGCCATTAAAAATTTTTTATTACCGTTTTGAATAAATACAGAAAAAAACAACCCAATACAAAGCAAGATCTTTTTTACTTTTTCATATCAAAATGACAAACATTACAAGACTCAAATTTATGAACTAACATATGACTGATGTGTTTATGCTGACCAGGGTTTAGAGGTTTCAATGAAGTTTCTGCTCTAAATAAGATACCAAGCATTAGCACTACAGATGCCAGCATGTGCTTTACAAACTATTAAATGAATCATGGTATCAAAATAAAGCTAACACTCATAGGATTGAATGAGGGTGGATTATAGAAAGGCAAGATGACGTTTTCCTCCAAACCAGATTATTTTTTTTGCAGTATATAAACATAATAAAATAAAAATAATAAAGCTAAAAACATCTTGAAATCGTACATCCCCGTTTGGACATAATCCCTGCAAAGATTCATGCAGCTGAGGTAAACCAAAGCAAGTTAGGGATGTTTGGGTAAAGTACTGTATATCTGAGCTCCATCTCCAAAGTGAAGAATTCTTGAATTTTTTTTTTATAAACAATAGTTATATAAACTTTTTTTTATTTCTAAAACGTTTTTCTGTATTCTAAATTCTATTCACCCACATTGATTTTCTCACCCAAATCTAATAAAAAAATAAGAAACTCCAATCGAAGGGGGAAAAAAATATGAAAAAATGTCTCAACATATTTTTTAGGAAAATATCACCTTTGTTTTGAACCTTGTGAGGGTTGCTAC